CAACACAATGAACTGATATTGGTTTAGCTGGAGTTACCATTTTGTGTAAACACAGTGATAAGAAGCTCTGTGAGTCCCACTACAAGCATGCAGGAATCCCTAATTGAATTAGGAAAACCTGATGGTGACAGATACCACCATAACCTAGCCATTGTGATTTCTACTTAGTCTCTGAGGAACTTCAAAGGTTAGAGTAATTCCAGAAAGTGGTTAGACATGTTCGTATACTTTTTAAAATTCTGTTTGGCTTCTACTGTGAAAATACCAGGATTTTCATGACAAGGTCTTATTTTTAATTCATTTTTCTTCAAGAAAATGTTTCTTGCCTAGAGTCATAATTTTAGAGCCAGAAGGACCTCCCATCTTCAAACTGAAGCTCTGAGAGGGTGCTTCTCACAGTGCACTCTCTAATATTTCTGGACCCACTTCTTCCCCCGATTTTCACTGCCGCCATCTTTTTTCAGGTTTAATCACTTCTCACCCCGACAATGGCAATAATTGCAACTGATCACCCTGTTCTGTTCCTTCCATCCACTCCTGTTGCACTAATCCAAGAGTAATTTTTCTAGAAAACCTTCCTGATGATTTTCATTTATTTCCAGGATAAAAATTCTACACAGGATTCCTATTGCATTCAAAATAGAATCAATCTCCTTTCCTTGTCACAAAATACTTCCCTTTTTCACCTCAGCGCCTTCCACGATCTACCCCAATCTGTTTCTGGTACACTGCAGGAATTCATGTTCCTAGACACACCCTGTGGTTTCATTTTCCTGTCTTGTGTATGCTTTTCCTCTGCCTAGAATGTCCTTTTCTCCTTGTCCACTGGAAGCTCATTTATTAAGAACCAATTCAGGCATTTTTTTCTTCTTTCATACCTTTTGCTACCTCCAACGAGATACAAACTTTTATCACAGTACAGCAGGACTTAGCTTCAGAGAGCGGGAGATTGGGCACAGCGTCCTGTGCCTGTAGTCCTAGCTACTGGAGAGACCAAGACAGGAAGATTGCTTGAATCCAGTTTAAGGGCAAGTGCACTTGATTGTGCCTGTGAATAGCCAGTGCATCCCAGCCTGGGCAACAGATGGAGACCCTGTCTCTAAAAAAAAAAAAAAAAAAAAAGTAGTAAGTGGAGGGCAGAGTCCTGAGCCCTTCAAAGACTCGACAGGAAAGAAAAGTATCCCTTGGGCCAAAAGTAAAATCAATAGATGTTAAAAGAGGCCAGGCTCGATGGCTCATTCCTGTAATCTTAGCACTTTGAGAGGCCAAGGAGGGCAGATCATTTGAGGTCAGGAGTTTGCGATCTGCCTGGCCAACATGGTGAAACCCCGCCTCTACCAAAAATTAGCTGGACATGGTGGTGCACCCCTGCAATCCCAGCTGCTTGGGAAGCTGAGGCAGGAGAATTGCTTGAATGCAGGAGGTGAAGGTTGCAGTGAGCAGATATGGAGACACTGCACTCCAGCCTGGGTAACAGCAAGACTGTCTGGAAAAAAAAAAATTGACATTAAGAGAATCCTGGGAAGACATTACTGAGTGGAAGATGCTTGTGGAGACACTGAGGAGACTTCCTCTGGTATATGTGTCTTAGATGGAGAAGACGTTGCTAACATCCATTGAAATGAGAAGTGGGAAACTGGCGAGGAAGGAGGCTCAGCACCTGGAGAGAAAAGACATGGTAGTTCGGGGGAGACATGACAAAAGTTTCTTCTGAGCACATTAACATTTAAAATGTACTTACTCTAAAAATAAATGACAGTTCTTTAAACTGAATTAATTCAGCTTTGTAAAACCTCATTACATTGTTCTTATTTTGCTGTGGAACTGTGAGAGATTTAACACACACCAGCATTTTGTCATCAATGGTTTATTAAATCCCAGAGAGGCCATTTTTATGCTTTGTTTTGACCTATTTACAAGGAATGAAATTGTGGCTTGAAGAAACAGACACCCTAGAAAGGAGAAGGTGGGATTATAAATTAGTGCAGTATTTATGGAGAGCCTTCTGGAAACACATATTAATATAAAATGTGCATATCCTTAGACCCAGCATATCCACATCTAGAAGTTTATTCTCATGGAATGATAGGATGGGTTCACAGGTTCACAGTGATGTATACTCACAGATATTATTCCAACACAGCTTTTAGTACTGAAAAGTTAGAAACACCGAGATATCCTTCAGTAGGACTTGGTTAAATACATTGTGGCATAGTTACATAATGAGCTACAATGCCATCATCAGGTAAGTGGCTACTTCTTATCACTAAATAGAAAGAGGTAGATCTATGTATGTTGACATAGATAAATGTTTTTTATATATTGCTAAGCAGGTTACAGAAATATAATATCATTTTATATGTAATTATTTTGTCTTATTTTTAAAACAGCGTTATTGAAATATAATTCACCTACTGTCTTAAGTCCGTTTGTGCTACTATAACAGAATACCATGGACTTGATAAGTGATAAAGAACAGAAATTTCTTTCTCATAAGAAGTCCAAGATCAAGGCAATGGAAAGTTTGATTGGTGAGGGCTACTCTTCTGTCCTCACATAGCAGAAAAGCCGAATAAGTTAGTGAAGCCTCTGTTTATAAACACCTTAATCCCATTAATGAGGGAGGATCTGGCATGTCCTGATCAACCTTTAACGATCTTACCTGTTAATATTATCACATTGGTAACACTTGAATTTGAAAGGAACACATTCAAACCTTAGCATCCATTTAAAATGTACAGTTGACAGCCATTACCACAATCTAATTTTAGAACATTTTTGCCCTCTGCAAAGAAATGACTACCCATTAACAGTCAATCCTTGCTTCCCCCTCCCTAAGCAACTGCTAAATCTATCTTCTGTTTCTGTAAATTTGCCTATTCTGAATACAAATGGCCTTTGTAATTGGCTTTTTTCACTTAACATAATATTTCCAAGTATCATCTATGTTACAACATATGTCAGTGACATTAAAATTTCTTTTTCTTGCCAAATAATATTCCTTTGGATGACTTACCACATTTTATTGATGCATTCATCAGCTGATGGATACTTGGGTTGTTTCCACTTTCAGGGTATTATAAATGATAATTGCGAACAGTTGTGTGTAAGTTTTTGCAAGAACAGATGTTTTTATTTTGCTTGGGTACATACTTAGGGGTGAAATGTCTGGGTCATGTGGTAACTCTAATTTTTGAAGAGCTCTCAAAGTGTTTTGGAAAGCGCTGCACCATTTCACATTTGCACAGCAATGTATGAGGGTTTCAATTTCTCCACATCCTCATCAACACTTCTTATTGTGTGTTGTTTTCATTATAGCAATCATAGGGGATATGAAGTGGTATCTCACTGTGGTTTGCATTCCCCTACTGATTAATAATATTGAACATCTTCTCATGTGCTTATTGGCCAGTTCCAATTTATTTTTAAAGATTACATGAGCAAATACATCTGGGCAATGATATACTAAAATGGTAATAGTGCTTCTGTCTAGAGGATATTCTTTCTTATTTTCTATTGTGTTTCTCTATCAAGCAAGGTTCTGCCAGAGGGAAAGAATCAGTAGGATAGATTGATAGATAGATAAGTAGATAGGTAAATTTTAAGGAATTGGCTGATACAGTCATGAAGGCTGGCTAGGAAAACCAAAATCCATAGGATAGGGCAGGCGGTCAAAAAGAACAGGTTGGAGTTGAAGCTGCAGTTCACAGGCAGATTTCCTCCTCCTCAGGAAGACCTCAGTTCTACTCTTAATGAGGTTCAATTGATTGGATGAGATCTATCCAGATCATCAAAGATAATCTCCTTTACTTAAAGTCAATTGATTATAAATATTAACCACATCTACAAACTACAGTAACATCTAGATTTGTGTTTGACAGGATAACTAGTTACTATAGCCTAGCCCAGGTGACACATCAAACTGACCATTGCAATCCTCTTTTATATTATTTAATTGTTTTTACAATGAAGTCTGCATCACTTTGGTTTTTTTATTTTTTTGAGATGTGGTTTTGCATCTTTCCCAGGCTGGTCTCAAACTCCTGGGCTACAGCAATCCTTCTGCCCCAGCCTCCCAAAGTACTGGAGTTACAGACATGATCCACCACATCTGGCCTGTATTACTTTGTTAATCAGCAAAAATAATACAACTTCATTATTAAAAATTGTTTTAATACCATCATACCTCTACTCTCACACTCAGTGATGAATACTTGTTTTTCTTGGTATCCTCCAGAATGCTCAGCATAGTAGCTTGTACCTGGTAGATGCCTATTAGATACTATGTTAGTTTTCTATTACTGCTATAGCCAATCCACACAAATTTAGCGCCTTAAAACAGTGGTCACAAACCTTTTGGCACCAGAGACCAGTTTTGTGGAAGACAGGTTTTCCATGGACTGGAGTTGGGGGGTGGCTTCAGGATGATTCAAGAGCATTACATTTATTGTGCACTTTATTTCTATTATGAATACATTGTAACATATAATGAAATAATTACACAACTCACCTTAATGTAGAATCAGTGGGAGCCCTGCCTGAGCTTGTTTTCCTGCATCTAGACAGTCGCATTTGGGGGTGATGAGAGACAGTGACAGATTATCAGGCTTTAGATTCTTGTAAGGAGCATGCAACCTAGATCCCTTGCAAGTGCAGCTCACAATAGGCTTTGTGCTTCTGTGAGAATCTAATGTCACTGCTGATCTGACAGGAGGCAGAGCTCATGTGGTAATGCGGGTGATGGGGAGCAGCTGTAAATACAGAGGATGCTCCTCTGGCTAGCCTGCAGCTTGCCTCCTGCTCTGCAGCCTGCTTTCTAACAGGCCATAGACCAGTCCTGGTCTGTGGCCCGGGGAATTGGGGACCCCAATCTATGGCTTTCTGTGTGCTATCCATCCTACCATAGATACTAGCTAGCTAAATATTCACGAAGCAGACCCTGCAACACTGTTTTTATTTACCAAGAAATCTTGACTAACAAAGCTGTTCCCTTTTCACAGGCTGATGTTAGTGTGTCTCATTCTGGGGAGAATTGCAGCCCCCAGATGGAAGCTGCTCTGACCAAGAATACTGTGGACATTGCAGAAGGCCTGGAACAAGTCCAGATGGGAAGCTTACCTGGAACCATTTTAGAAAATTCTCCATCTCCTAGTGAAAGAAACAGACAAGGAAATTCAGGTAATCTCCCTGGCCCGCATTCATGTAGATCTTCACAAAATACTGTTCCTTTAAATACATTTACAATGTATATTTGGTGGTCCTTTTATCACTGCTTTCTGGGCCATGAAGTATTTTCAATGGCAATGTTTTTATCTCTGAAACATTAGAATTTAGCCTTAGGCCTTCATTATGTGAGTAAATAATGCTAACCATTAATCTTCTTGTCAATGAAGTAATTAAGACCATCTTAAAAAAAAAAAAGCTTTATTGGGACTTAGGGCCGGACTTTAGGAATAGGACTTGCACAATTCAAAGGAATTTAACTGTGAACTGTGATAACATCTTTCCAAGGTGTTATATGTAAATTTTCAGTGCTGCAAATAGCACTCAAATGTAAGTTTTCTCAGCAAGGCAATTTAATTCTATAGAAGGATGTGTCTCGCAGATGGAACAATGGTGAGCACACACCTGAACAGGGGAGGTGAAGGGGTTCTTATCCCTGATGCAGATAGCCCCTAATGCTGTGTCATTCCCCAACTGGCTAGGGTTGGACAGCAAAGTCTAAGCTAATTCCGATTGGCTATTTTAAAGGGAGCAGGGACATGATGAGCCAGAATGGCAGGATGAGCAGTTTGGTGGGAAGGAAGGTCACAGAACAGGTAACTAAAGGTGAGTCAGGTCAAAGCAGGTGACCAGGGGAACATATGTGAACTGCCGATTAGAACTGGCAGGAAAGTTGTTTACTAAACAACTTTAGGGGTAAGGGGGCAAAGAGAACCAGGAAGTTAGACTTTAAAATGGAGAGCAAAGAACAGGGGTGCTGAACATACTGTTACATTGGTTCTTTGGAGAGGATCACGGAACTCATTGTACTTAACAATTTACAGCTAAAACCTTTGAAGAGGAATTTATTATATTCTACAAAGGGAAAGTTCTACATTTGCAAAAATAAATAAAACCTACAATAAATTGTTTTCTGTCTTTCTTCATCCAAATCATCAGCAAATATACAATAAAACAATCTTTCAGAAATGTGGAAGAGGTAGTTATGACTTATTGTGCTATCTAGAAACTATCTGTGGGTTTTCCTATGATGTGTTTTCCTGTGACTTGAGTTACCCCCTGGTGTCGATTTAAGTCATCTTATTTATATTCAGTCAGCCTTTGAAGCATACTGAACTTCACAGCCCTGAAGGAAAAGTACTCTGTTTTATTTCAGGGGGGACATTTTTCACTCCCCATCACTATTGTTTCTTCTCTAGGCACTGATGGGTTCATACATGCGATTCTATTTCTTGAACTTTTCCTGGCACAGTCAGCTATCACAGATTTTATACTTGTTCTCCCCTTGCTGTTTTGATGTCAGAACAGTCAGCGTGACCTCTGAGAATGACTAGGAGGCTGAGGAATGCAGCACAGGAACGGCCTCTCCCTCCTTCCATGTGTTAAATTGACACATACATTTTTTTTTCCAATAATTCTGTTGAGACAACTTCCCTCTATAGAGCAAGATGAACGCTAAATATCAGTGTTGGTCACAGAGTGTAGAGTGTCAGGCAGAGAGGGACCTGGTGACCCAGGACAGTCGGTGCTGCCAGTTGTGTGTACAATGTTAAAGGTGGCATGAAGAGGGTGATAGGTAAGCAGAAGGGCATTGAGAGAGAATAGCTAGGGAGGAAGTCAGCCACTAAAGCAGATGTTTCTAAATGCAGCATCAAAGAGTCCTCAGGAAGCACCTTACAACAGAGTAAGTAGGACCTAGTGTCCCAAACTTTCTATTTGTCCTCTGCCCAGTTTCGTCTCTATGTCTCAGCCCTTGGCATCCTCCTATTTGCATCCCTGCTCTTCAAATCTGTAGAGTATATTTCTTTTCTTTTTTTTGAGACAGAATCTTGCTGTGTCACCCAGGCTGGAGTGCAGTGGCATGATCTCAACTCACTGCAACCTCCTCCTCCCAGGTTCAAGCAATTCTCCTGCCTCAGCCTCCGGAGTAGCTGGGATTACAGGCATGTGCCACCACATCTGTCTAATATTTGTACTTTTAGTAGAGACGGGGTTTCACCACATTGGCCAGGCTGGTCTCAAACTCCTGACCTCAGGTGATCCACCTGCCTCAGCCTCCCAAAGTGTTGGGATTACAGGCGTGAGCCACTGCGCCTGGCCCTGTGGAGTATATTTCTCAAGACTATCAAGTTTCACACTAACATTTCCCAGTATTTCCGTTTTTAAAAAACCTTTTGATTTTGTATATTCAGATTCAAGAAAAGGTGCAAAAAACAAAGAACACCTATATTCTTTCACTCGCATTCCCAAAATGTTAACATTCTGCCACACTGAATTCTCATATCCCCCCTTATGCAAGTATATTTTTCTGAGAATAAGTTACAGACATAATGCCACTTTGCTTTCACAGACTCCAGTGTGTATTTCCTAAAAACAAGGACGCTCTTTGCATAATCTCTGTATAAGGATCAAAATCAGGAAATACTTTTCATTTCGTACTTTTATCCCACCTATAGACCGCATATTCAAATTTTGTCGGTTGTCTCACAACTGTCCTTTATAAATGAATTTCTGATTCAGGATCTGTCTGACCCAGGATCACATGTTTAATTTAGTCATCATATGGTCTTTAGTCTTCTTCAATCTAAACAACTCCTCAGCTTTTCTTCGTCTTTTATGACCTTGATATTTTTGAAAAGTATAAAGCATTTATTTTGCAGAATGTTTATCAATTTGGATTTGTTTGAGCTTTCCTCATGATTGGATTTGGGTTACACATTTTTTTTTTTTTTTTTTTTGGAGACGGAGTCTCGTTCTGTCACCCAGGCTGGAATGCAGTGGCAATCCTGGCTCACTGCAACCTCCACCTCCCCAGTTCAAGCAATTCTCTCTGCCTCAGCCTCCTGACTAGCTGAGATTACAGGTGTCCACCACCACACTCAGCTAATTGTTGTTTTTTATTTTTTCCGCCATGTTGGCTAGGCTGGTCTTGAACTCCTGACCTCTGGTGATCTGCCTTCCTCAGCCCTCTAAAGTGCTGGGAATACAGGCGTGAGCCAGGGTTACACATTTTTAGCAAGAATACCAAAAATGATCTTGTGTCTCTCTTAATACATCAAATTAGGAGGTACATTATATCTATATTCAACTCTTTATGTTTGTGGGAATTTTTGCTTTACAAACTTTTTTTTAAAATCTAGTAACATTTATAAATGCTTAAAATTCAATTTGGATTTTGAGTCACAGCTAGAAAACCTTTCCCTACACCAAGGTTAAAGATGAATTCACCCATGTTTTCTTGTATAATTTCACTTTGTACACTTATACTTATGAATAATTTCCAAGGGCATCAGAAAATGCTAATGTAAATGTTAGCTAGATAGGAAACAAAACTGTGTGTTCAGTATGATGTCAGACTTATGAAAATAAAATAAACTTATGAAAATAAAATTTTGTATATTAACAATGGTGATCTCTGGGTGGTGAAAGTATCGGCATTTTTTAAAATCCTTTACTAGTTTCTATATTTTTAAAATTTACTCCAGTAAGTATGCATTATTACTTTTCTCATCAAAAAGAAGCAAAACGTGGTTTTTAAACATTCCCTAATATTCTCCAGTGTCCCAAGAAAGCATGAAAATTAGTTGAAATGACTGACATATTCCAGGAATCTCTGTATAAGTTGGCTGCTCTAAATATCAAGCCAAATACTTTAGAGAACTCTGAAAAGAATGAATTAGAGTGATTACAATAATTTTATTATGTTAGTAACAGATGGCAAACATGGCCTTCCTTTTAGGAACATCCTGGGAGAGAAACAAACCTCTGACAGTGGAGCCACTGACATGACATATCTGGGAGGAGAACAGTGGGACAATTGAGAGCAGGAGTGTTGGAGCCCAGCAGATGAGGATTTAGTCCTTGGTAACACACATGCCACCTGTGTCACCCTAAGCAAGTTAATTAGCTTCTCTCACATGGGATAGGGCTGGGTGCAGTGACTCACACCTGTAATCCCAGGACTTTGGGAGGCCAAGGTGGGCAGATCACAAGGTCAAGAGATCGAAACCATCCTGGCCAACATGGTGAAACCCGTCTCTACTAAAAATACAAAAATTAGCCGGGCATGGTGGTGTGTGGCTGTAATCTCAGCTACTGAGGAGGCTGAGGCAGGAGAATCACTTGAACCCAGCAGGCAGAGATTGTAGTGAGGTGGAGATCGCACCACTGCACTCCAGCCTGGCAACAGAGTAAGACTCTGTCTCAATCGATCAATCAATCAATCAGTAAAATAGGGATAATGTCACTCTGAGTTGATGTTTGCATTTGATATCATACAGTGTATCAAGTACTTAATATAGTGCAGGTGCCTAAGTGCTCATTAAATAATTATTATTCTTTTGACCTTTCCAGGCAAGGCCACCTTCTCACCAAAAAAAATCATTCTAATTCCTTGAAGGGGATTTACTGCTGACCTTTTCATTGAAATTTTCTCCATTGTTTCAAGTTTCTGGTTGACCTCCCCATATGACATGTTTTACTAACCTGTGCCAAAACTGTACAGAGCAAAATGAGTAGCAGCTCTATTTCAAACACTTGCAAGGGTAGAAAACAGCACTGGATAGTTACTGGGATAAGAGGAAAAATGTTGGAGTTACTTGCAGTGGCCAATCCTAGAAATCTCTTATGCCAAAGAGATTAATATACTGGAGTGAGAGACATCTGGGGTGTGTGTGTGTGTGATCTTCCCAGCACAAATTCATAAAAGCTGTCATTGCTAACCATTGAGATTAGAAATTTTTTTCTGGGTACAGTGGCTTATGCCTGTAATCCCAGCATTTAAGGAGGACAAGGCATGCGGATCACCTGAGGTCAGGAGTTCGAGACCCACCTGGCCAACATGGTAAAACCCCCTCTTTACTAAAAATACAAAAATCAGCTGGGCATGGTAGCGGGAGCTTGTAGTTCCAGCTACTTGGGAGGCCAAGGCAGGAGAATGGCTTGAACCTGGGAAGCAGAGGTTGCAGTGAGCTAAGATGTCACCATTGCACTCCAGCCTCGGTGACAAGAGTGAAACAAAGAAGGAAGGAAGGAAGGAGAGAGAAAGAGAGAAAAAGGAAAGAAAGAAAGAAAAAGAAGAGAAAGAAAGGGAGAAAGAAAAGAAAAAGAAAGAAGAAACAAAGAAAGGAAAGAAAGAAAGGGAGGAAGGGAGGGAGGGAGGGAGGGAGGGAAGAAATTTTCATAGGAAGACGCCATCCACTAAGTGGAATGGACCTAGTCACTCTCAGGGCTCCTGATGATGGCTGCATAGATGATAGCTTATTTCTCAGGACTTCGCATTGTACTGTTAGCGACAGGAAAAGCAAAACTGTCTTTGGCCCAACAGGCCAGCGCCCTTTATTTTATAATGTGATGGCATAAACGTGACTGCCTATTTGCTTATTTATATAATTGAATGATTTGTAATGGGAGAGCCTCACTCATTAGTGCAGCTTATAAAGACTCCCCTCTAAACTGTTTCAGTGCTCATTTTTAGAATCACGAATGAATATTTAGCTGATATCACTCTAACTCCAATTCTGATTTGGTTCAAAGACTCTTTTCAAAAAGGCATTCTTTTACTTATGTAGACTTAGCAGATGGCGTAATTATAAACTTAGGGTTGCAGAACTAGAAGTCTCTTGGCAACATCACACTGTTTATCCTTTGTATACAAAGCATGGAAACCAAACCACAACTCAAAAAATCACCAAAAGAATATGTGATTCTTAGCTGTGGTTTAGCGTCAGAATTAGTCCAGCAAAGCAATGTTGTCCTACCCAAGTGTGTAAGTATTGTTACCATAGAACTTTTTGTTATCTTAATATGTGATCTGCTAAGTAAATAGCATATTATGTTGATGTGTATACTCTGTAAGGACATGAAGAATTTAAAACTTCAAAGGATTACAAAGACATAATAGAAACGTATTAAGTGTTGAAACTAAGATCTAATTAAGTAGCGTGGTTTATAAGACACCCATTTAACATTTGATTGAAAAAACTTCATTCTTAAATTTTGCTTTCTTTTTTCTTTTCTTCTTTTTTGGTAGACCTAGTGACCAATGGATTAATCAATAAACCCCAACCCCCAGAGATTCGAGAGCGACAGAAGTCATCAGACATCTTGGAGGAACTAATTGTTGAAGGAATAATACAAAGCCACAGCAAAGTATTTAGAAATGGAGAATCATATGATGTCATGGCAAGTAGTTTTTAAATTAACATTAGCTTATAGTTAAAGGTAGCAATAGAGTATGATTGGTCATGAGTCATTATTCCCAGCATATGCAAATTACAGTACGAATGACATCATTTATTTAAGTCAGACTTTTCTCTCTTAAAATCCCCCCACACCTCTGCACACCATCTCATATGGTTCTGTGCTCCCACCCAAATCACACCTTGAATTGTAATCCTCAGGTGTCAAGGGCGGGACCAGGTAGAGGTTATTGAATCATGGAAGTGGTTTCCCCTATGCTATTCTCTTGATAGTGAATGAGTCTCAAAAATCTGATGGTTTTATAAGTGTCTGGCATTTCCCCTGCTTGTACTCATTCTCTCTCTTGCCACCTTATGAAGAGGTGCCTTCTACCGCAACTGTAAGTTTCCTAAGGCCTTCCCAGCCATGCAGAACAATTAAACCTCCTTTCTTTATAAATTACCCAGTCTCAGGTATTTCGTTAGAGCAATATGAGAACTGACTAATACACCATCCTTCTCTGTGGACTCAGGAACTGCTCTAATTATTAATGATTAATTAATCCAGTAAAACATATATTGGGTTTTCCTAAATTTGAGAAATAATAGGCCCTATTGAATAACATTCTTTAATTCTTTCAACAATTTTTCTTGAACACTGCCTATGTAATAGGGATTGTGCAGTCCATTAGAAATGAAAAACTGAATTCTGATTTATTCAGTAAGAAAACCGGCCTGACAAGTGTTTTAGGTAATGGATATGCTAGTTACCCTGACTTGATCATTATACGTGTATCAAAATATCATACTGTACCCTATAAATATGTACAATTACATGTCAATTAAAAATAAGGTAAGACTTTAAAAAAGAAAATAAATAGGCCTAAATGCCAAAGCTAAAACACATATGGCTGTACATTTATCTACATGTACACCCCAAAATCAAACATGAGGAATTAAATAGAATTCTAGAAATTGCTATACTATTATTTTTGTTTGTTGATTTATCTTGATTGATCTGTCACAGTTTTTCCTCAGCATGAATAATGTTTTTACTCTGATTTTAACTAGCTTGGCTAAATCTAGAGTTCTGAAATTTTTTTTGAGACCCAGGCTAGAGTGCAGTGGCACAATCTCAGTTTACTGCAACCTCCGCTTCCCAGGTTCAAGCAGTTCTCCTGCCTCAGCCTCCCAAGTAGTTGGGATTACAGACACGCATCACCACGCCCAGCTAATTTTTGTATTTTTAGTAGAGACAGGGTTTCACCATATTGCTCAGCCTGGTCTCGATCTCCTGGCCTCATGTGATTTGCCCACCTCAGCCTCCTGGAGTGCTGGGATTACAGGCCTGAGCGACTCCACTGGCCAAGTTGTGAATTTTAAAATAAGTTCTATATAAACCTGTGAAGAAGATAGCAGATTTAGTTGTTGCTGTTATTTTGTTTTCTTGTTTGGGTTTTTTTGGTTTTGGTTTTGGTTTTTTAAAGCCAATGCTCCTAGGCATTACCAGTAGTCGTTGAAGTACAGGCAGAAGAGAGAAGGTGAAACAAAGAATCAACAGTGAAAAGAAGCCAGAGAAAAAAACTGAATGAAAAAGAAAAGAAAGAAAAGGAAATGGCAGGAAAAGAGACCAGAAATTACCCCAAAGGCTCTTTAATGGTTGTCTATCCCTGTGTTGTAGGGAAAATAGTCCATTAGGAATTAGAAACTCATTATTTAAATCAAATTTGCCACCTTGACTGAGTCATTTAGTGTTTGAATAAAGTTAATTTCCTTCTTTGTGTATAGGGAATGTTGAGAACTCATGAATAAAAGCCAAAGTGGAATTTTCTTTTGAAAAATGAAAATAAATCCTGCAGAAAGTATTTGGGGGAAAGGAAAGGAGATTGCCAAACCTTGTGAATAACATAATCAGGCTGCCAATAATAAGAGGATGTGAGGGGCAGGGGGAAAGGAAGGTAAAAATGAATCATATAATGAAAAGATAATGCCAGCATGATGACAGTTTACATTTGTGCAATGCTATCATGATATAAGGCATTTTGGAGTGCCTTATCTTATTTGAAAGTACTAAAAGAAGGATAGGTTTTTAATATCAAAGGGAAGAGGAAATTTTTTTTTCTAGCTGTAGGTGAGTCTCTAGGGGTCAGAAAAAAAGAAGGCATGTCAAAAGGAAAAAATAAAGCAAGTCTGAGGGGAGACAGAGAGATTATGGAAACATCCACCAGCTAAGCAATGTCTTCTTAAGGGAAATGCTATAGACACCTTGATGTATACATACATACGCCAGTAGAAATCACATTAAAACATTCTCTGTGATTCAGTTGCCAGTGATGAATGAGTTCTGACCTAGACCTTGCAAGGGAGCCTGCAAGTTTAATTAATATAAACTACCTTGTGAAAGAGATGCACCTTTTAAAAAATAACTGTGGCCTGGACTTTTAATAACATCATTAAGTGAACCAAAGATGAAGATGCTTTTCATATTATAAGGGCACAGAATGGTTGTTGAGAACGTTCTCAAAAGGATTTTTATATGGCAGGCGGTCAGAATAGCACGATTTTTTTTTTTTTTTTTGCTTTGGTATTAGGCCAAGATATCCTAACGTAAGCCAGCCTCGTAACAGACCAGGCAGCAACACACACCTAGAACCGTGGTACTTAACCCACCTGCACATTGGAGTCACCTGGGGATATTTCCAGTGTCTAGATCTCACTTCCGACCACACAGCCTGGCATGTGACCCTGCTCTCACCCTTCTGAAAGCTCCCAGGCAATTCCTTTCGGCAGCCCGGGCTGAGAACTACTGCCCTGAAGGTTCACCGAAACTGTCCACAAAGCTCCCAGATTCATTACCAAAGCTGGGAAGGGTTAAAGCTTTTGAAATCATTCCTGATTCCGTATTCATTGTGAAAGAGAATTCTGAAATATTCCTGAAAACATACCATTTCAGGAATAGGAACTAAGATTATACTCAGGAAGCCTAAGGAAATAAAAAAGAGATGCAATTTCTGTGTCATAGATAAAACCTTGCAATTCAGGGGTAGCTGAGAACATATGTGTATCAGACACCAGGTGTCTTGCATATTTTGGGAAGTTATGAGGCCAATGTAAAAGGGTGCAAATGAATATTGAAGGACTGAGAGGGGAACCATATAAAGAATGGAAATATTATTAGATAATATTAATTATTAATCATATTAATACTTTGAACTATCTAATATTTAATAAGTATTTTGAAACCAACACCTGATAAAATTGGCTAAAAACAAAATAAGAAGTCAAGGGAAGCAAAAAATGGATGGTCAAAAAAAAAATAGATATTATGATGTTGGCAGTTACTAAAATGTGGTGAATCTTAACCAACATGTAAATATGATTTCTTCATTGCTCTAGGGAAAAACATTCTTCTAAATAAAATATTATGGGAAAAATAGAATACATGTGAAAATGCTTCGAGTCTCATGCTCTACCAACTGAACTAGCCATGTGACCAAGGAGAATAGTTTAAAAATAAGACTTCTTATGTGGGCCAATAGCCTATTTAAATACAAGGGCATTTCAGACATGGATCTGGCAGCTTCTTAGCCAGGTCATTATCTTTCATTGAGTTATTTAGAGTGAAATTGAATAAAGGATGTTGAAAATTGAGGGTTCACCTTCATGAAGTTCCCCCTTCTAAATCAGGGGCATCCCTGAAAGCCAGTCTCTCCCTAGAGGTCCAGGGGAGGATCTGTGTCCACCACAGAACCCCTTTGTCTTTTTTCTTAATTTTTATCATAAGCTTGCTGGTGAATACCGCAGTAATTCCATAGTGCTCTCTGGATAACCAGCTTTCAAGAACGTGTATGCTAGAATATTTCAGGTTTACTTAAAAGTTAAAATCAGGCCAGGCACAGTGGCGCATGCCTGCAATCCCTGCACTTTGGGTGACCAAGACAAGCAGATGGCTTGAGCCCAGGAGTTCGAGATCACCCTGGGCAACATGGTAAAACCCCATCTCTACAAAAATAAAGTTACAAAAAATTAGCTGGGCGTGGTGGTGTGCACCTAGTTCCAGCTCCTTAAGAGGCTGAGGCTGGAGGATCACTTGAGCCTGGAAGGTCAAGACTACAATGAGCCATGATTGCACCATTGCGCTCCAGCCTGGGTGAAAGAGCGAGACTCTATCAAACAAAAACCCCAAACAATGAAAAAAAAGAGTTAAAATGTGCCAGGCATGGTGGCTCCCATTTGTAGTCCTAGTGCTTTAGGAGGCTAAGCTGAGAGCATTCCCTTGAGGCCAGGTGTTCAAGACCAGCTTGGGCAACATGGTGAGATTCCATTTCTATTAAAAAAAAAAAAAAACCGATATGTAAGAAATACAAGATTAAGGAGCTAAGTATCAGATTGTTGAGTGAATCTTTCAGTGTATTTTTAAACATTCTAATGAGACTTTAGTGACTATATTGTAAACAAACGTAGGTTTTATGTACATATGTCAATATGTGTATGGACTTGTATAGACCTCTTTAGAGAGATATGATTGGTTCTCATTTATCCACATAGGTATTATTGAGTTCATCTTTTATCCCAAATTCATTTCTCCCTGCCACTTAGCACGTCCTGGGTCTCCCTACCTGAGACTCTGTGAATTCACAATTGGCTTCCGTGTCTGGTCAAAGTTTATTCCCTTCTCTGTGCGACTTCTGTATTTGGTAACCTGTAGTGTAGTTGGAGAGTTTGCTCACATTGCATAAGAGTCTCTAACATTATTTATTGAACCTCATGGAGAGTTTTTTAAGGAAGAGGAAGTTGACTGAGTTAGGACTCAATAATGCCAGTTAATGATGAGAGTGACCTTCCCCAGGAGGTCTGACGGTGACAAAACAAGAATGAAGGGATCTTTTGCAGGAAGCTTTGGCCTATTCTATGCACAGGACTCCCTTAAGGGACCAAAATGAAGACAGGTTCATCCCTTGGTCAATAGTTAATTAAGAAAGCTCTGAGGAATACACAGTGTGTGTAAGAAGTAAAATATGTAAGTTAGTAGCTAGAAACGGGACTCAAATCTAATTGCAGCATTTTGAATGTGGCAGTCCTCTAAAAGTATTCTTTAAGAAAATAATTGAACTGGTAACTTCTGTTACCAGTTCTGTAGGTTGATTTTGTTGTTTTTACTGGTAGCACTTGTCTAAGCATAAGGTGGTCATTGTTACCTTTTTTTATTTTTAATTTTAAAAAGAAACAGGGTCTGATTACATTGCCCAGGCTGGTCTTGAATTCCTGAACTCAAGCAATCCACCTGCCTTGACCTCCCAAAGTACTGGGATTACAGTGTGAGCCACTGTGCCTGGCACATTGTTAACATTTTTAAGTGCCAACATTTGATAAATTCTGACTTCATAACATTCAGTTGTAAAGAATACAGGTATCTTTCTACAGGTTTTTTATTTTTTTACTTAAAATATGGAACTCAAAAAGAACATGGGTTGCACAAATAGGATTACCTTCCTCTATGGGGAGGATCATTTTAGGATTAAGCAACATGGAGGAGGTGACCAAAACATTTCATTCACTGCTTTGACTGAATGAAAATTAGCTGGGCATGGTGGCGCATGCCTGTAATCCCAGCTACTCAGGAGGCTGAGGCAGGAGAATTGCCTGAATCCAGGAGGCGGAAGTTGCGGTGAGCCGAGATCGCGCCATTGTACTCCAGCCTGGGTAACAAGAGCGAAACTCCGTCTCAAAATAATAATAATAATAATAATACAAAATGATGAGGGGAGGGGGAAATTGCTTTGACAACCATTCCATGGTTTTCAAGTAGTAAAAGACTTTGCACCGCATAAACCATCTGATGGTTTTAAAGGAACCAAAACGTCAATAAATGTTTTTTCTTTAGAAGACTGTCTGAGAATCATAGATTTGAAAGCTGAAAAGAAGCTTAGTGGGCCTCTGCCCCCTTGCTGCTTCACATTTGAGAAAATTGAGTCCAGAGAGAAGAGCTGCCTGGGTCTCCACCACGCCCTGAGCATTCCTGTTGCCCCAGGGTTGAAGCTCACGCCTGGTGCCTAAGGGTCCCTGGCGGCAGGCTCTCTTTCCTCCCCTCTGTGCTCCTGCCCCTTTCAGCTTTGTCTTAGTTATGATTTTGCATTCTGTCTTTGGAAAAAGTCACTGCTTTGACTGAATGAAAAGCAGCTACCATTTGCTGAGTGGCTACTTTACCCTTCTTTTTTTTTTTTTTTTTTTAAAGCAATCCCGTGAAATATGTATTATTAAACGTATTTTTACAAATGAGAAACCATGGCTTGCAGAGTTTAAGGAATCTTAGAAAGTCAATTCAAGCACTGGGCATGGTGGCGCACACTTGTAATTCCAGCTATTCAGGAGGCTGAGGCAGGAGAATCACTTGAACCTGGGAAGCAGAGGTTGCAATGAGCCGAGATCACGCCACTGCACTCCAGTCTAGGCCATAGACCAAGAATCCACTCCATAGGCCAGCCAGAATTCAAGCCCAGGGTTGACTGGTGATTTGTTTTACTCTGCTAAACTTCCTCTCTTTGATTTATTTTCTCAGTACCTACAGCATTATAGTCTAGAGATACAGTCTTTCAGAAATTACAGTGAATATTAATAGCTCTTTTGTCTTTAATAAAAAGTCTTTAGAGAAATTATTTAGAACAATATTCGGTTCATTTTATAATGCAGCCTTGGAGTTAACCACTCCCTACCCAGTTGTAATAAATCTGTATATACTAACCTAGAAAGACGCCAATATTAAGTTAATTGAAGAAAGTAAATTGCAGAGCAGTGTGTATAGTATAACTCCATTTAGGTTTTGTTTAACACTATAGATATCCTTAACACATATATATGTATGTACATACATGTGCAGAATAGATATCTGGAAAGACACATGCTAAACTCTTTACGGAGCTTCATGTTAAGGACTGGGATTGGGGGCTAGGTGGTTAAATAGAGGATTCGGAGATGATTTGTGTATCAGTTAAATTTTTTATAATCAATCTACATTATCTTAAAACTTTTTTTTTTTTTGAGACGGAGTTTCGCTCTTGTTACCCAGGCTGGAGTGCAATGGCCCGATCTCGGCTCACCGCAACCTCTGCCTCCTGGGTTTAAGCAATTCTCTTGCCTCAGCCTCCCGAGTAGCTGGGACTACAGGTCCGTGCCACCACGCCCAGCTAAGTTTTGTATTTTTAGTAGAGATGGGGTTTCACCTTGTTGAACAGAATGGTCTCGATCTCTTGACCTCGTAATCCACCCGCCTCGGCCTCCCAAAGTGCTGGGATTATAGGCATGAGCCACTGCACCCGGCCAAAACTAATTTTTAAAACAAAAACATATACATTAAAACTTTCTTCATAAATTCTTTATGACAATTTTACTTATTTTGGAACTAGAAATCATAATTAGAAAATCATTATTACTGCTTTGAACTGTTAAAAGGGTAGTTGATTGTATGGATTGGAATTTTTCCCCTGCTGTCATGAAAATATTTGTCAAGTTCCTCCAGCAAAGCTCAGCACAGAGTTGTTGTTCAGTAATCGTTCATTATCTCTTTCTACCACAAAACCAGAAGCAATGAAAACTAATCTCTATCCCAGATGAAAGTAACTTGTAGCTTGTGGAATATTATGAAATCATCAGGTTGGACTTTGCACCTTGAACTATAAATTCACCCCCATTCTCCACTGCTTTTCATCTTATATTCATTCTCAAGATTTTTTCCTTCTAAGCGGTCCTCTTCTATCTGAGAGCACCTCCGCTTTAAGAGCCTTTTCTTTAATAGACTGGTGTTTTTGAGGCATCTAATAGATATTATCTTTATAATTCTGCTGTTACCAACTTTCACATTGTTGTTTTTGTAATCTGACCCTGAAAAGTTTGATTTTTAGAATTTATTTTTTATTTATTTATTTTGAGACAGGATCTCCCTCTGTTACCAGGGCTAGAGTGCAGTGGCTTAATCTTGACTCACTACAACCTCCACATCCTAGGTGTAAGTTCTTTTGGGTTAACTGACTGCACCATGGACCATGTCATGGTAACCTCTGTGACCTGCACATACACTCCAGATGAGTTCCTGGAACTAGAAAGTCTGAAGTGACTGGAAAATCACAAAAGGAGAATGATCAACCCCTGCAGTGCCTAAATAACTTTGAGACATTCTTCTATTGTTCATTATTCCTGCCTCAACTGATAAAGCAACTGGACTTTGTAACTGACCTTGGTCAACCTCATGACTCCAGACCCTATGACCCCCTCCCAGCTTGCAAAAGCCACCTGAACTATCACTTCTGTAACTTTCCTATAAAACCAACTCCTATCCCACTGCCCTGCTCTGACTCTCTTTTTGAACTCAGCCCACCCGCACCCGGATGACTAAACAGCCATGTTGCTCACACAAAGCCTGTTTGGGGGATCTCTTCATTCAGAGCATGTGTTTTTTTTCTTTTTCCTTTTTTCTTTTTTTTTTTTTTGGCATGCACTTAGAGCATATCAGAGCATGTGTTTTAACTGGGCTCAAGCAATCCTCCACCCTCAACCTCCTTAGTAGCTGGGACTACAGGTGCATGCCAACATTCCTGTTTAAGTTTTTGTATTTTTGTAGGGACAAGGTTTTACTATGTTGCCCAGGCTGGCCTGGACCTCCTGGGCTCAATCAGTTTGCCCACCTAAGCCTCCCAAAATGCTGAAATTATAGGCATGAGTCACTGTGCCCAGCCTAGAATTTATATTTTAAGCTGTTTATTCTAACTCTTTTGCCCTTCTCCTCTTGCCAGTGAATATAGTTGTTTCTACATGTAAAAAATATATTTTATTCCAGGTGAATATGACTGAGAAGCCATTGAGAAAGCCACCTGCCAGACTAAAAAAACTCGAGATCAAAAAGCTAGAGAAGGATTTCACAGTGAAGGATATCGAGGAGAAGATGGAGGCTGCCAAAGAGTGCAGGAAGGTACTGAAGTTCTCAGATGCTCTAGACTTGAGGGATTAGCTGTCTGCTAAAGTGATCTCATGACACACCTTTCCTATCATCAGTTTTAAGACAAATTGTATGAATCAATAGTCGGTATTTTATTTTATTTTACTAATTGTTTTAAGAGACAAAAATCTCACTATGTTGCCCAGGCCGGAGTACAGTGGCATGCTCAGAGCTCACTGCAACCTTGAACTCTTGGGCTCAAGAGGTCCCCCTGTCTCAGCCTCCTGAGTAGCTGGGACTACAAACCCACACCACTACATGTGGCTAATTTAAATAAAAATTTTTAGAGATGGTTTCTCGCTATGTAGCCAAGGCTGGTCTTAAACTCCTGACCTTAAATGATCCTCCTGCCTTGGCCTCCCACAGTGTTGGGATTTCAGGCATGAGCCACTGTGCCTGGCCTACAGACAATATTTCAATGACCTATATGCTTTTTATTGTATGTTTCACATTTAGTGGTTTTTCTTAACAATTTCCTTCCTGTTGTAAAGGAATAGAGTAGGTTGGGTATTACAGTTTCATCCATACAGCCTAAGCAAGCAACATCCAGTTCTTGGAATTAAGTCAAGTATGGAGTGTTCTTCATATGAAAAGAGAGAAACTTCAATTAAGGCTGGGGGCAGGAGAGGCAGGGTTGGGCTGTGGTGTTAAACTGAGAGGAGCTACTGCAGCATCAGGCAGCATCATCCCTTTTGCATTTTCACCGAGGGCCCCCATAACCCTCCATGTGCCCTTGGCCAGATGCCACCTTCACAGCTTTGGTACAACAGCCTTTATTTCCCAGCTCTCTAATTGGCCTCTCAGAGCACAAGGACCAGACTGCAAGCTCCATGTGGACAGGCCCCGTGTCTGCCTTCTTCAATAAGAGTTTCTCAAAAAATGTTTGTTATACAACTGAATAATGACATAGAGAAGCCATAGATGTTCAATACAAGCAACATTCATTGCAACTTGTAGAAAGTTACTCAGACTCTTTTTCATTCTTTAATACTGCATTTCAGTCTAAAGAAGAAGAAATAAGAAAAAGGCTACAGAGTGACCGACTTTTGCCTTCAGCCAATCGTTCAGATTCAGCTAAACTAGGTGGGGCTGAGGTTGCATTTGCCAAAGGACTTCAAAGGGTCAGGTCAGCTGGGTTTGAACCATCTGACCTGCAGGGAGGAAAACCATTGAAGAGGAAGAAGAGTAAAAGTGATGCCACCTTGATTGACAGAAACGACAGTGATGAAAGTTTTGGGGTCGTGGAGTCAGACATGTCTTACAACCAAGCAGATGACATAGTCTACTGAGCCATTTTTTTGTGAATTTCATAAGCCGGAATTCATTCTCCCCATTTGTGACATTTGTAATATGTCTCAGATTCTTTGACTGCCTGACCTCATTCCACTGGGATTTCTGCCTTGGGCTTAAGGATGATTATGTGGGCTCCATGGGCTGAAGGTTACTTGAGTAAATTAAGTAGCTATGCTAGATTTAATAAAGGAGCGAGGGGGAGACTTGACCAGCTTGGATATTTGGCACTCTCCTTTGTGCGACTTCAAACACTGTGGAGCTGTCTTTAATGCATAAGTGCCTTCAGCTTACGTGCATATGTTCATGCCAAATGAAATCCTTCCTGTTCTGCCTGGTGGCGGTGTCCCTCTTCTGCTAGTCCCTTAAGACAAATTACATGGATTTGTGTTAAGTATTTTAATGATTTGTATGCTTTTTATGCTGTATGTCTACAGTTTCAGAATTTTTTTCTTTGTGTTATGAAGGAATGAAGCAATGTCTTAAAGTTGGTTGAATTACAGTTTCGTCTATGTAGTTTAAGTTAGCAATATCTAATTCTCAGAAATATATAAAGAATGGAGTTTTCTTCTCGTGAAAACAGAAGAACTTCAATTGAGGCTAGGGGTGGAAGGAAGTTGTGGGGGTGGAGATAGACACTGCTACCAGTGTCTGGCTTCCCTGCAGGCACACTGAGCTGAGAAGCTGCTGGCCCTCATCTTATTGGAATTATACCTTGGTTCTTCCCTCCCTTACCACTCACATCCAATCAATTATCAGGTCTTATGATTATAGATGCTTTTTTTGTGGGAGGGGAACAGGGTCTCACTTTGTAGCCAGGATGGAGTACAGTGACATGATCTTGGCTCACTGCAGCCTTGAATTCCTGAGGCTCAAGCGATCATTGAGCCTCAGGCCCCCAAGTAGCTGGGACTACAGGCACACATCGCCACACCAGGATAATTTTTTGCAGAGATGGGGTTTTGTCATGTTGACCAGGCTGGTCTCAAACTCCTGAGCTCAAACGATCCACCCACCTTGGCCTCCCAAAGTGCTAGGATTATAGGTATGAGCCACCATGCCAGGCTATGAGTCTAGATTCTAAGGATCTCTTGCATCCATCTTCATACTTTTCCCCTGTCAGTACCTAGTTTTGGCCACCCACTATCATTCAACTGGGTTGCTACAATAGTCTTGATTCTTATACAATAGTATCTGTTTAAAGCCCCTGGTTGTCCCCCCTTTTACTGTTGAGATAAAGCCCAGACTCCCTGCTGAGGATCTCAGCTTTCACAATTCAGCCAAACAGAACCTCTTCCAGTTCCTCAAACTGAGCACACTCACCCCAGGCGCTAGACCTTTGCACATGCTGTTTCCCCCTTCCCTTCTATTCTTCCTGCTCCTTGACTTGAAAAATGCCTTCTTGTCTTTCATGTCTCAATTCAGACATTACTTCCTCTAAGCCCTCTGGTCCAGGTCAATGCCCGTCTCACCTTTTGGCACCCCGAACTGTCGTCTTTACGTCTATCATACTGTGTAGGAGTCACCTGATACATTCCCATCTTTACCATTAGATATTTTCAGTTCCTGCAGGACAAAGGAGTGGGCCTGTTGTAATCATGGTTGCAGTTTTTGGTCCCTTGGAAAGTGAATGCACATTATAAGCGCTACATAAATATTGCTTTAGTGGATTAATCAGTATGCTTGTACCTCCTCCAGAAAAAGGTGCATGGCTTGTTTTCTTGGGAACCTTTTGACTTGAGGCTTACTTAGCATCTCCTGTTCATACACTCCCTTTGGCCTTTTGTGTATCAGGGGTCCCCAACCCCCAGGCCATGGACCAGTACTGTCCATGGCCTATTAGGAACTGGACCTCACAGCAGGAGGTGAGCGGCAGGTGAGAAAGCTAAGCTTCATCTGTATTTACAGCCCTTCCCCATCACTCGTATTACAGCCTAAGATCCTCCTCCTGTCAGATCAGTGGTGACATTAGATTCTCATAGGGGTGAACTGTGTACGTGAGGGATCTAGGATGCACACTCCTTATGAGAATGTAACTCCTGATGATCTGAAGTGGAGCTGAGGTGGTGATGCTAGCACTGAGGAGTGGCTGCAAATACAGATTAAACTTAGCAAAGAGCTTTTACTGCATGGATACCATAATAAATCAGTTGCTTGCAAACACAACAAAACCGTATCCGTGAGTGGCAAGTGACACTGAAGCTGCATCTGGTGGCAGGCTTTAGAGTGGCAAGTGAATTGATGTACTTCAACTGTACACCTGTATCTGGTGGCCTTAAAAGTATGTTTGAGGCAACTTCAAATCTCCCTATGTTCTGAATTAAAGTCCAGGCAGAATATCCTCACATTGCCACAAAAGCGCTGAAACGCTTGCTTCCATTTCAGACATCCTATCCTTGTGCAGCAGGGTTTTCTGCAGTGACAACAACCAAAATGAGATTATGGAGTAGACTGGACATAAGCAACACATTTCAGATGTCAGTGTCTCCTGTCACCCCAGATAGGATGATCTAGTTGCAAGAAAACAAGCTCGGGGCTCCTACTGATTCTACATTCTGCACAGGAAGGTGATGGTGAGTTGTATAATTATTTCATTATATATAACAATGTAATAATAGCAATGAAGTGCACAATAAAGGTAATGTGCTTGAATCACCTTGAAATTATCCATACCCCACCCCAACGTCCATGGGGAAGTTGTCTTCCATGAAACCAGTCTCTGGTGCCAAAAAGATTGGGGACCTCTGTTATATATGGATACCTCTGTTATATATGTTCCTATAGCCTGTAGGACTTCAGACACCTATAGCCAGTGAAGTATGACAGTGCTGGTAGAGGGGATGGAGGGGCTTCTTCAAAACTAATTGCAGAGCCAAAACTTTTAGACCTTCAGTCTACTTCTTACAATGTGACCCTGAGGCATGCAGGCTCTCTGTGTCTCAATTACCTTACATGTTAATTTGGGATAGCCCCAGTCATAGAGTTGAATCAAATGAAATAATGTGTTTAAAGATACTGTGTACCTGCTTGCCTGGTTCAGCAGACTGAGTCATCCCACCCCTTCTATGCAGATAACTTGATTCAGGGGTGCCCTCTCCACTCCATGCCTGGACGGATCTCCAGGCATTTGGAGGACCCACTCACCTGGAACATCACCCCACCCTTCCTGTGTAGAGATCTTATTGCAGAAGGGCCCTCTCTGCTGTACTGCCAGGCAGATCTCCAGGCATCTGGAGCACCTAGTCTCCTGAATTAGGAATTTAGGCCAACCCTCATCCCTGTGCAGAGAACTTGGGACTGAGGAGGTTTCCCAACTGCACACCTAGGCACAGCTCTGGATGCTTGGTGGCCACCCACTAGATTATCCCTCGGAGCTTGTGCTTGTGCCTGCCATTGGGAGATGTGCAGGCAAACATGCCTGGTCTGGCCCCACCTATCATGGCCCCTGTCCCACACTCCAGGGTTGCATAGCGGAGCTCAGATCACTGTGAATTCCACACATCAGCCCATTGCCTAAGGCAGCAGAGAGTTTCTGCAATAAACAAAGATCGAGTATACACACAGCCATATTGGCCACAGCTGGCTCCTACCTATAAGTGCCACCTACAGGCTTGTAGGTGAAACCACACAGCCCAGTATAAAACCTGCTAAAAGAAATGCATAGGGCTATAGAAGCAAAGCCC